CGATATTACGTTGAAAGCACACACGTGGCACCGCTTGATAAGAACATCATAGAAGACATCGTGAGTGGCTCTCGTCGTTCTAAAGATATAATTAGCAGCGAAGAACTCTCTGTCTCTCTTGGTTGTTCCTTCCTTTATCCACCTAGCTCTCTCTTTCTCTCGTGATATCGAGGAAATACTCTACAGAGACAGTTTGGTGGATGCGAACTCGCGGTAACCTTCAGACGAAGAGACGACGACACGAAGGTGGAAGGATCACAACGGGGCTTTCGTAAGATGAGCTATGACGCTATACGCTGAAGTTAGCGGCTTAGTGTCACCGTTTGACAAATTGTGCTCCTTCATCCTCTCTCTCTCTCTCACTCTCTCTCTCTCTTTATCTCTATCTCTCTTGCACGCTTTCTCTCACACAAACACATACACACATTTTATATCCGTTCGTCTGACTGTCTGCCTATCTCTTTCTCTCTTTCTCTCTCTCTCTCTCTCTCTCTCTCTCTCTCTCTCTCTCTCTTTTCCTTCAACTCTCCTTCTCTTTCTATCTCTCTCGTTTTTTGGTTCGCACTCTACTTATCTTCGCAATCGACCAACACTACCGATGATCTCCATCCTCTTCATCCACCCGGCAATAACGTGCTCTCTTTGTCATTGCTAACACGCGTTTCACGTAGAACGTGCGATGGCGCCTTCTGTAGACTGTGTAAAGGTAACTAGCCGTGAATGCATCTCGCGAGAAATCTCATGCCATCTTAGAAATGGTCCATCGTTTACGAACGCATCAAGAAATCCTTATATTTTTGTATCTTTCTGTAACTTTTACACGCTTTCCTAAAAGACAGTTTTAGAATTAAATAAAAATTGTTCTTCTTTCTTTTTCTCCTTTTTCTTTTCTTACGTCCCTACCACCCCCCCCCCCCCACCACTTTTTTGCCCACGTCCAAATATAAAAATAAAAAAAAAAATGTTACGTCGGTCTCAACGTAATAATGTTACGTCATCAATGAATTCTGTTCATTTATTTCCTTTGAGAAATCGATGAATGATTTGTAAAAAAAAAAATTACGATAGAAACGAACGATGTAATATATTGGAATTAAAAAAAAAAATATATATATATATATACATTTGTAAAAATATTTGAGAAAAAAAGAAAGAAAGAAAGAAAGAAAGAGATTATCGTGAAAGAAAAGATCATCGTTCTAGTTTGATCTTCGCAAAGAAAAAGTCTCTATGCGGCTTTCATCTTGATGATGATGATGATGATGATGATGATCTTTCTTGCCACCCGCGTAAGCTTGCGATTTTCTCTCGCGTCAGTGACACTGGATCGCGTCTAAAGTCTCGAGACGCGTTTCGTAGAACGCGCCTAAGATTAATCACGACGTGCGAGACGGTACTTGTAACTTGCGAACATGTGTTAACCATTCCTACCGTTTCTTCTTTCTTCCTCTATCTCTTGTTCGTCTCTTTCTTCCTCTTCTTCTTTCTCTTCCTCTTCTTTTTCTTTTTTCTCTTCTTTTTATTCTTCTCTACTTGGGTGGTTTCACGACTGTTGGAACGCTCGATTAATGTCGCGATGGTCCTTTATTCAGTGACACCCTAAATTTTCTTCATTTTGTATATTCAAGTAAAATTACGATTTATTGCAAATTTTTTATCGTACGTTTTAAACTCCAATATTTTCTTTATTCTTTTTTTTCTTTTTTTTTTTTTTGTTCCTCCATTCATACATTCATCTAATATTATTCTCTCGTTTCTGTTAACCTTTGACATTGTCAAATGGAAATTATAAGAATTAAAAGAGAACTATCGACATGTGCTACATAAATACATGATAAAATTCTATTAAAATGAATATGTTAGTATAGGATAAATAAAAGAATTTGCTTTGTTTATTATGTCGTTGGTTATAAATTGTAGCGCCATGTAATTCGTTGGAATATCAGGTGCATAGATAGATCCGCGAAAGCATAGAAATTCACCCTTGTACGTTTAATATTTCAATGCGACCACAGGGACAACAAAAGAGCACTATAGTTACTGATTTAGTGGACACGAGTATCCCTTTATCTGTTTCTCTTTCCTACTCTCGACTATTTTACCATCGTCGTTGATTCCCAAGAGTTCATCGAAACGGACGCGCGTACGAAAATTCTCGGACTTTGCTCGTTGATCCAACAAATAATGCATCTTGTCGCGTGGATTCGAACGTTCGCGCAGTTTCCTCTTGAGATTTTTCTCCTCTCTTTCTCTCTCTCTCTCTCTCTCTCTCTCTCTCTCTCTCTTTCTATTCTCGCGATCTTTTAAAATTTACAAGAGCTTATTCTTTTTTCCATTTTCTCTGATTCCTATATTCCCGTTAGTATTAAAATATAAGTTATTCGAAATAAAGACACTTTTGAAATTCATAGAATCGTAATAGAATTTATTAAAATTAACAAATCGATAGATCGTTATTTTCCTAACGCACATATTAAAACGATGAGTGGTTAAATTCGTGGTTACTTATTCGAAATGTCATGCAAGACGAATTACAGCCAGTTCGTATCCGATCTGACACATCTCTGGACACCAGTCAAACGTTCAAACTAAATATTACAATTATTCCAGTCGCGAGTTAACTTGGTTACGAATGCGGCCAGCCACGTTTGAACGCAGTCCATCTCTCTCTCTCTCTCTCTCTCTCTCTCTCTCCCACTCTTTGATCCCATCTGGACCAGTACCTCCGAGTCTGTCCCTCGACGACGACGTGGCTGTATATCCCCTCTACTAACCACTACTAATGCTAGAACTCATGCGTTACAGGACTATCGAACGGGTTTTCGACTCTCGATCTCCCAATGCGTATTCCATGCGGCGTGTCAGCCCAATTTCGTCCGGAAATACGTGTCGTTGAACGCACCTAGAACCGGGATGCTTCCGGATTCAGCTTCCGACTGACTCTACCTACGTTCACGTTTCGTGCTACCAAGCTTAATTAATAAATGGGGATTCGATTTGACTCGAATAATGTAGGAATTAACGACCTTCTGCTACGGTCGATATCGTTACACGCTCTACCACCTACGTTTACTATCTACTTGGACTCTTCCGTCATTGAACAAAACATTATACTAAACCGTTTATACTATACCGATCAACGAACGTATTGCTATCGATATAACTATTACAATGATTTCAATTTGCTCTTTGTGATTTATTTTCATTGATATAAATTTTATACGTTCGATGTATCTCCCGATAAGCAAACAATTGCTCATGTAGAAAATATTCTTCGAACTATATTTCAATCAAGTATAATCTATTCGAATCAATTCATTCATTCGTCTAGTTTAGAATAATTGAATTTTTTCATATGCCTAAGTAATAATTTGATTACTTCTTTTAAAATAATCCATATTATTTTGTTTTTTTTTTCTTTTTTTTTTTAATTGTCACAAAAAATCGAACAAATTGAAGGAGAGATGTAAAGTCAATAATGATAATAAAACGATATGGCAAAAAGGATAATCGAAAAGGTGCCGATTCGAAATAACAATGGTAAAGGGGATAAGCTTTAAATTCTCAATATGCGAGGGTTGTTCTTTATCAATCTCAATTTTCATGACTGATGGCGGGAATTGCCAGCTGTATGGGATCCTTCTACGTTGTACACTTTTCCCGTTTAGTTCGTCCCCTGGCTGAGATACCGTTTGTGGGATGCATGTATGCATTGCGGTAACACGAGCACGTGGCGCTTCTACCTATTCTATTCTTTCTGTCTCTCTCTCTCTCTTTCTCTGTATGTGTATGTGTGTGTGTGTGTGTGTGTATTTCTCTTCGTCTTTCTCTTTAGAGACACGTGCTGCTTGCGGTTCTCTTTCTTTTCATTGTTTTCTTTTGGATCACTTCATTATACCATATACGGTGCATCGTGTAACGGAGTGTGAGCTAAAGAAAGAGAGAGGAAGAGAAAGAGAGAGAGAGAGAGAGAGAGAGAGAGAGAGAGTAGGATACTCACGTAGAATGTATCGATACGAAGCTGAATCAATAGAAACGATGGGTTAAAAGGAGACCATTGACCATCTTCTACAAATAAATATTACTCTTTGTAATATCAAAAATATATTCTCAGCTAAGTTATAATTCTTTAGGTTTTCGTTATATCTTTATGTTGAAATTTATTCATCCATTCATCGGTTCATCCATTCATCTGCCCATCTATTTCGTCTGTCTATCTATCTTTTTCTTTCTGTTCTTTTTTCTTCTCTTTTTTAATCTATTTCACGGCAATGCGATTGTTTTAGATCAATCATACATTAGTCGTTTGTGTATTAAAAATCTTTGAAAGAAATCTTATCGGAAAGTAACAAATGATAGTTTTGATTTTAATTTGTTTCAAAAAATGTCCTAAGCTGCGCGATAATATTTATTTTAACACGAATACATTTTTCAATATAAAATATGAATACAACATGATTGCATTGCGTAGCATTAGAACGGGTGAACTGTCGTTGATACTTTAAGGTAATTATTATTTCTAAAAGTCTGGCCAATTATGATTTAATCAGATATTTCTTATCGAGAATTATCAAGGATAAATAATCGAAAGGGTTGATAAGAATCACCACGATAAATTCGAAACTAACGTCGAAACTTTATTATAAATAAAAATGATTTTCCTGGTTCTCCTTAAATATAATGATATTGAAAAATTTGTCAAATAAATTGAAACAACGTTACATACATTAATTTTCAATTGTTCAATTACAATCATGTATCGTATAATATATGTGGCACTTAATACTAGATATAAAACAGTGATATTTATTTACAAGTATGTTACGTGTATTATTAACAAGTAAGTCAGTCGCTCTAATGATCTAATGATTAATTCACGATTGAAATGACTTAACAAATAATTCGCTATAATGATATTTAATTAATTCGCGAGTAAAGTGAGTTCCATTTGAATATATCATTTAAACGCGAAAGATAACAAATTCGTTTTTAATACTTACTCTTTCTTTTTTCGCTTTATTGCTTTCGACAGCTTTTCATTGACAATGGTTGATCGAATGTACAACAGATGTAGTAGATCTCTTTATCTCACTAATTGTCAAACGACGATTTCTATTTAGAATTAGAAACATTCTATTTAGAATTAACATTTACACAGTAATCACTAATTACACACCGACATACGTTTATTGCCTTTCGCGTTATAATGCGGCGTATCTTACGCTACACTTACGTTGTTATCGAGACACGACACGGTAGTATCAACGTTACTTGTTTATCAAAATCAACGATCAACTGTGTTTATCTTCAATGTCCTTGAAGGATCGATTGTCATGTGATCTTCTGGCCACGTGTCTTGCTGCTGTTATAGATCTTCGAACTCTCCTTGAACTTTCTGTTGACAAGTTTTAAAATCAAAATTAATCGTACTTCGTGTGATAAGTGAAATTATGAGATGAACGATTAATCAAAAATCTTTGATCTGATCTAATTCGAATATATCTATATAATTATGCCTGTAAAATGTAGGACATTTCAGATCAACTTTGAACTGAATTAAAACAATTTACGCATTGCATGATTCATGAGTTTTTTTTCTTTTTTTTTTTTTGTAATGATAGAATTGGACATGCATTTTCAAACCTACTGATTATTATTATTTCCAAGGCTTCAAAAAATATATAGTATTTTTTTTTTTTTTTTTGAAGTCAAAATTATTCGTTCTGTATAAATGATGTGCACTCCGAGTGCACAACTTGAAATTATTTTGAGATATGCACAATTCAGAATATATATATATATATATACACATAAAAAATTTATAATTTTAAAGAAAAATGAAAAATGATTTCGATGAAACTTATCACTTAGCTATTGAAAGATCTAAGAACATTAAAACTTTGAGATCTAAGACGTTACCTTTCAAGACGTAAGGAGAAGTATTTTTCTTTGACGATACGAAACGGCCTCAATCTTTAAAAAAGATTACTGAGAATGTCAAAGATGGTCGTCGACTCGTCAACTCCGAGCCGATTGAAATAGTATTGTTTCAACTTGCAGAGCGAAGCGTCCCCTATTCGTACAGGTGAGTTGACGAAGATTTAACGAGACATTTAATTGTGCCTCGTTCACAAAAGAATGGTCGCTCGGTTGACTGCCTCGCAGCAAGCAGAATACTCTCTATTTTTATTTTCTTTTTTTATTATCTCTTTCCCCCCCCCCCTCTCTCTCTCTCTCTTTTTCTACGTCTCTTTTCTTCCTATCTTTCAGTTTCACCATCTTTCAGTTCTTGCTTTTCGAGATTTTGAGCGATTGAAATGACTCCAAGAGTCGATCGTTAAAATTGTAACGAATGTCGTTCTTAATTGTGTGTAGGTTGAAGTTTTTCGTTCATTATTCTTTATCTCTCTTTTTCTTTTAATGATTGAATCTGGAACGACCAAAATGTAACGGGCAAAAGCGAAGTAATTTACGTGAAATTTGTAGAGTTCGTAAAAGTGACAAAAAGTTGGGATCTTTTTAAGAAATCTATGTCACTGTTACAAATTGTATTCTTTACCAGTGCTTGTATAACGATAGCGTGTACGGTTGGTAAAGCGTCTTAAAATTCGATTACGAAAGAGAGATGAGAAAGAAAGAGAGAGAAAGAGATAAAGAGAGAAAGGAGTTGCATTAAGTCGAGAACGTGAGATGCTTCTGATGATAGTAACGCAACGACAGTTAAGTCACAGACGTACCAATGTGCAGGTACCAATGCGATAACGCGAACGAATCCATTTAGTCAAAACGAAGTTTGAAAAGTACAAACCAGACCGAGGAATTAAGGGTGAGAAAAGACAAAGACAAATCGATTTCTTCTCCCTCTATCTCTCTCTCTCTCTCTCTCTCTTTCTCTCTCTCTTTTTCTCTCACTATATATATTTTCTTCTCATTTCTGATTTTCTACGCTCGTTTTTTAAAATGCATTTGCGTTATTAAAAATCATCGTTACGAATAATAAAATTGCCGACACTTGTGCGATTCTCTTTAATAATATGATTCAATCAAATGAAATTCTTATAATTGGAAAGATAACAAAAATTCTTATGATCAATTAAAATCAATTTGATTTGTTGAGAAGCGCGTATCTTAGAGGTACATTTCCTCGAAGAAAGAAGCATTAAACGCCTAAGAGAAGAAAAGGAAAGAGAGAGAGAGAAAGAGAGAAAGAAAAAGAGAGAGAGAGAGAGAGAGAGAGAGAGAGTAAAGGGATGATCCGACCGGCAGAAATTCCACGAATTGTACGAATTAAATGAGCCAGCTGGAGCAGTGACAAAGCTTCGTAATGAAGATACCAGCGAAGTCTTACGTCGAAGGTAAAGAAAAATGTGTGAAACGAGGGGGATAGGTAAAAGAAAAAGAAAAAGAAAAAGAAGAAGAAAAAAAAAAAGAAAAGGAAAGGAAGGACGATGAAGTCTGCAGGATGGACGTCAGCCGAGAGAAAGCCTGTAAAGTGTTTCGAGGCGAGTTCGAAAAGAGAAAAAGAAAAAGAAAAAGAGAAAGAGAGAAAGAGAGAAAGAGAGAAAGAGAAAGATAACGTAAAACCTGGTAGTTGTTGAAAGAGTATAGAGCTATGTGTTGTCGAGGTGAAGGTGAGCAAAGGAGAATAAGAAACAAAAGAAGAAAGAAGAAAGAAGAAGAAGAAGAAGAAGAGATAGGCGAAGAAGAGAAAAGGAGAAGAGTTGCTGATGGGGTTGCTCCTGTGGAAGTGTTGCATATCGTATATAGAAATAGCCGGAGGCGCGCCAGATGCTGCCTGCAGCCGATGGAAATGTAAAACTGTGACAAGTCCCGGAATAAAGTGGCTGAATAAAATACAACTAAATCCCCCGTCGCCTGGTTGTTCGCCTGTTCGCTTGCCTGCCTGCCTTGCCTGCCTGTCTTGCCTGCTACCTTGCCTGCCTTCCTACGAACACGGCGACAACCATGAAGAACTCGATGCAGCAAAGAAAGAGAAAGAAAGAATGAAAGGAAGGAAGGAAGGAAGGAAGAAGTGAGAAAGAATCACCGGAATATGTCTGTGCGTGTATCTACTGCACACTCATTGTTTCTCATCATTTTTTTTCTTTTTTATTTATTTTTTCTTTTTCTTTTTTTTTTTTTTTTTTAATCAGACTACTACACAACGATAGACATCATCTGATTAAAACTCTGAGAGAAATTTGTTATGGTTTCATCATTTTGATTGAACTCGATTTATTTTTGATCGATACTAAAGAGAAGAAATTCGTTGTTCGAGACAATTAATGTCGAGCTAATATGAACTTATTTTTTTTTTATTTATTTTTGCTATTATTTTCGGACGCAAGGCCAAGGGATACGAAGAAAATCGACCAGTAGCGAAATCGTTTCTCTTTTTACGAGGATTGAATTTATTTCTTTGCCTTTGCGTTTTCATCTCCCTTTAGCAAACACGTAACCGAGCATACCTTGGATGACTGGATGCATTATCTCCTTGTTCGGACAACGTGTAAGCGTAATTAACACGGCGCGGCTCATAACGAGGACGATGTACGCATTCACACTAACGAGAGCAAATTAGCTCGTTTCTGCCAGTTTAGCTTTGCCTCCTTGCTGCACCGTCGGATCTCCCCCCTCTCTCTCTCTCTCTCTCTCTCTCTCTTTCTCTCTCTTCCTATCTTTCTCTCTCTCTCTCTCTCTCTCTCTCTCTATTCTCTCTTTCTCTTCCATTCCCATGTCGCTGTTTGCGGTCAAGAATGCAAATTTGGTCGTTTCGCGTCCGAGTACTATACCCGCTTCACCGAACACGAATTTCTGTCGAGTTTCGTTGACGAATTCAGTGAGCCAAGCGGTTTGTGGCGTGGACTTTCAAAATTCATGATCAACGTGTTACCCTTCCTTTCTCATTGCACTATACGCGTCGACATTTTACGCGTTTCGAAGACAAGCTAACGTAGAACCACGTAGGAATTCCATGGATAGTTTGAAGTAAATTCCTTATTAGAAAATTTTCACCGTCATTTTCACCTACATTAGTATGTACATACATACATATATATATATATATATATATATATATATATTTACATATAATTATTTCTCTTTTATTTTCTTTCATTTGACGACATTTATCGTTTTAAAATGATACAATTAGAATTATTCTTCAGTTCGATAATATAATTTCAATTGGTGGAAACAATAAAATATTCAATTCTATTATTAATAAATCGTTCTCTCTCTCTCTCTCTCTCTTTATCAAGTTATGGTTCTTCTTTTATATCTGATTTTATATCGAAGCTTGAGTATACCGTTATCGGGGAAAAGTAAAAAAAGAGAAAAAAAAAACGATAAACAGAATCGATCATGAACGGGCGTTACGATATCTCCAGCTCGATTTCGAGATTTCCATGGGATCGGAATTCTGGAGTCTGATCTGCCCTTACGTTCCCTCACTTTCTCAGCTTCTGTTATAAATATATTTATCCCTTTCACCGAGGATATTCCTCTTTTTCCATCAGAGCCCTGCAGTATCCCAATGTGGTCCACGGAAAGTCTATGTCCGTTCTACCGGAAAAGAGATTCGGAGCTTGATAAATAAATTCTATTGCAAAGAAGAGAGCTTTCTGTTTCTATCCTTCGTACATACACTTGTTCTCTCACCCCCTCCCCTCTCTCTCTCTCTCTCTCTCTCTACTTTTCTTTTTCTCTTTTTCACTTCACATATTCACATACTTTCAGTTACTCAGTTTTATCCTCTCTTCATCCTCAATACAATTCTCCGTCGCATGAATGAACGATCGCTTTAACCATTTTATGCACCAGAGTGAAGTGTTACAAATCAATCGAAAGGGAAACATTGAAATGTTACGAGAATCGAATTTGAATGAAGATAAAAAGAAAAAGAGAGAGAGAGAGAGAGAGAGAGAGAGTTTTTCGTTATACGAGATCTCAAAACGAAATGAGTCTCGTTAACGATAGGATCCAAAAAGACTGAAGAAAAAATTTTGTTTAAAACAACAATCAAAATTATGTCTTTTCTTTCTTTATATATTTTCACCTTATCATTTGTATTTTTTTCTTTCTTTTTTTTTTCTTTTTTTGTAATTTTTTTCTTTCTCTCTCTCTCTCTCTCTCTCTCTCTCTCTCTCTCTTGTTTTTACCATCCGATAAATCGAAATCCAACGAAAGACTTTCGTTAAACGTCGTGAAATACATCAT